CAGTGCCCCAACCTGCTTCCTTACGCAGACTTTCTTCATACGGGGACGATTATGTGGATTACACACGGATTACTGGCTCATTATCATGTGTTATATCAAGATTGTGGTGCATTACTTTTCATGGGTATACATTCGAACAATACATGAGAACAGCCTGACTGATGTTAGTCTGCTCTTCACCAACCCACTACTAGGCACAAGACTTGAAATAAACTCAGCATATTGCAAGTGATGACTAAAATCAACAACAAAGCAAGAGAAATTAAATGTTGAGTTTTAAGTCTGAAGCTGAAAATCTACTTGGTTTTGTCAGAACTCAACATTTCTATCAGCCACTTACTGCATGTACAGTACAGTAGCTCTCACAGAGAGCGACCAACAGTGAGATGGTGCTTCAGCCTGCTTCAGACTGTCAGTAACTGATAGATTGTGACCAATAAAAAGCGGCAATCTGCTGTCACTTTTACAGCTTGTGCACCATCGCAATGATTTCCAAAATGCCTCAGATCTGGATCAGATTGGATTAGATAGTGTTTAAAGTCCCCAGGGGCAATTTGGTTCGCAAGCAGTAGTCAACACAACTAAATAGATAAACAGAAGACATAAATACATTCAACATACTTAAGATGTCATCATGATAAAATTGCATTGAGGCACTGAGCTAGTCAGTCCTTTGTTTAAGTGGAATATGTTACTGTACAAGCATTCACTCCTACATTCAGAAAAGCAAAGATTTATCCGTGTAGTTGGTACCTTAGGTTCTCTAGCCACTCATCCTGCTGGGGGTTACAGGGGGCTGGGGCCTATCCCAGCTGACACTGGGTGAGAGGTGGGGTGCACCCTGGACAGGTCACCAGACAATCACAGGGCTAACACATAGAGACAGACAACCAGTCACACTCACATTTTAGATAACATAACCTGCATGTCTTTGAAGTACCTGGAGGAAACCTATGGTCACCTGGGGAGAACCTGCAAGAGAACCTGTGCTGCCATATCTGCTGAGACTGTCACTACATTCCCATATTCACACAGCACTAAATGACACAGATGATCCATGAAAGAAGTCATATTCCTCTACCTACTTTATTGCCCTGTCATATTTCCACTCTGCCTACTCTATTGCTTTATGGCACACAATGTATTTCTGTGAGGACTAATGAATATCTATCTATCTAATGGTCTGGCTGGTGCTTGGTACTTTGGTCAACTGTATCCAACATGGGGGCTGGGTCACAAGCTTTCTAATTTTAAGATAGGTCACAGAAGATTCTAGCAAATGCCATTAGAAGCAGAAGGAAGAGGAGGAGGAACGTGGTTTATTCACAGATAATGTCTCATGTACTCATTTCAGAATATAGTGAGAGGTTCAGCAAACATGACACACAGTTATTTTCATAGAAGTTACCAGCTGTAGCTTTAAGGATGCCCCTAAGATAGTTGCAACAGCTAAACTTCCTCCAAGCATCTGAGTATTGGCCAGGGATTGAGTTTCATTACTCTCTGCTGTATCTCCTTCCTCCACATGGTGTCACTGTGTCTGGACTGTGGTGTCCAAGCAAGGATCAGTGACAGGGTCTGTTCACCCAGTTCAAACTGTAGAATAAAAAATTATGGTTGTTAAGATTGCAAAGTATTCTAATAATACCCTTGACTACTCGGTTCTAAATTAAAAGCTATTTTCCTGTGAGCAAATGAAAAATAATCCAGGCTTTGTAGTTGATTCATGTCAGACCTGCCATATGTAATTACATTGCATATAAAGGTAAGTGTGTCAGTTTGAATGGTGCTTGAGAGTGTTTAGTGGTTACTGGGTAAGGTGATGTACAAAGCCTGTGTCGATCTGCTTTATTTTAAGACCTCCAGTGTTACTTCAATGTTCTGCGCACAAGATAAAAACATGCTACAGTATTTCTAAATTATGTATTCACATATAACAAGCACAGCGCTGGGCTGTAGAGCTTCACACTCACATAATTTATAATTTAAACTTTAATAGATGTACTCATTCCTTAAAGTTAAGCTTCCTTTTAAATGACAGTGCATGAATATAAAAAAGAAGGAGTACATAACGGTTGCTGCTGTGCTCCTAAATATGCGTTGTCTTCTATATAATAATGTGCTGGTCCAATATGTTGCCACGGATGATTTGTTAAAGCTGTGCCATCTCCCTCAGATAGATTGTTTAATAATTTACACTCTTTCTATTGCAAATATACCTTGCCTCCTCATGCATTCACCAGTTCCCCATGCTATTAAATGCCTGCCTCCTGCTCTGCTCTTTGTGTAATGCCACATGCAAAACAGGCACTTGGTTGAACAGTTAAATATTTTAAATAACACCATACATGGTGTACCTTAAGAGCAGCTTTAACTCCTGCATTTCTGCTAAACTATTCATGACTGACATGTGTGTCACATTTGTTCAGATTCTTATGGAATATCTCAATGCACACTCTGACGCGCACAGTCAGACACCTAACTTCCTCCAGTATGCCCTTGCAGTGATATGTTTACGGGGGTTGTCCTCTGATTTCCATCCCCGCTCCTTCTTGTTCCTGGCTGCTAGTAACAATGCAGTTCATCGCAGTGCCATAAGCTCTGACAAGAGGATCAATCAGAGCTAATGAAGCCTGGGAGGAGGTGAGAGAAAGCGAAGAGGGATGGAGCTAAAGGGGGAGTGAATGGGGGGAGTCAAGATGAGGCGGGGGTTTGCTGAAGGAAAAGGAATACCAGAGCCAAGGGAGCAGAGGGAGGATTAAGAAAAATGACACTTCCTCCTCACCTCCTTACTCCACGCCACGAAGGACTAATTCCTCCTTCCTCAGTTATGACCTCTGAAATGATCATTTTGTTCATGTGATGGCCATGACCTGACAAACACTATCGACTGTGAGCTGCTGTTGCTGCTTTGGACTGATGCATTTTGTGTGAGAGTTTACACTGAGCCCTGATACTGCTATCCCATCTGAACTGTTTCAGCAAAATAGGTAAATCTATTATTTAGACTTTGTATTTCCATTTAACAATCTCTACTTGTAGAGATTCAAGTCACAGATTACATGTGATGCCTATTTATTTTTTTTTAGTCTGCAGGAGGAAAACCAAGAATAACACATTCCCACAGTGATATAGGGGGCCGGCTTATTTCATATGGAAATCTCTGCACTGATGAATATTAAATCAGACTCAGAACATACACCTCGCTGTTTGTATGTATTAGGCATCTTCATTCTGCAATTGACCTTAGCAGGGTAATCCAAATTTCATCATTCTAATGGATCGTCCATTGAATCACCAATGAAGAGCCTATTATGTTGTGTTACCCACACCCTTTAACATTACGCAAATCAGATGTCTAATGATGTACACTGTGCACAAGTTTCCTCCTAGCACTTGTAATAATGAATGTGCCAAAAAGCTTTATTAATGTGTGATGTGTGATTAATGTGAGAGAGTCTACTGAATGGATTTCACCACAGGATGAACAGCAGAGGCAATAAGGTGGAGGGAGGGGGCTCAGCTTTGATCAATAATGGTGTAACCTCAGGAGGGGAAATAATTACACATGCCCCGGATCGGAACCACTAGGGGCTGATCCACACGTAGGATTCACCGAGCAGTGCCGCCGAAAGACCTGGATTTTTACAATTAAGATCACCAACACTTTGTGATCACTGCTGAGATTAGCAGCGCCACCTCGGGAGCGAGTGTAAGCGTGGCCCAGAAGTCGTATCCCTCAGCCAAATCCCAAGCTTCTCATTACTGCAGCCTCACTCCTTGATGTTCCATAATCCGCTGTCATTGGCTCCCCGGCTGGTCGAGGCTGGGAAAAGAAGGAGTATCTCCCAGCCATCTCGCTGTGCCTCTGCGACTCGGTAGGGGGGGGGGCACATGCAGGAACAAAAAGGGGGCTGCAGAGTCATAAATCTCCTCCCAAACTCAATGAGGGAAGTACATGAAGAGCTTTTCTGGTGATAGCTGCTTCTGTCGCTCCTCCCCCACCTATCATCGTCTCCCTATCTTTCTCTCTCATTCCTCTCACTCTCATTACTCCTCCTCTGTTATGTAATGTCTACATTCAATTTTCTCTATGCCTAACAACATCTCAATGTCAGATATCAATCCATCTGTCTGTGTCTGTCCTGTATGTCCTTTCATGTGCACACTGTTCCTCATGGCAGTAAGTGAACAGAATTTAAAATAGGAGGGGGGATAAATGAGCCCACGCACTTCATTCTGCTGCTAAGCTTTTTACTTTGAACCGTGCCTTATGAGTACACTGCTCATTGTCATGGTTGATGCCATGCTAACGTGGTCAATTTTCTCTCAATTGAGGTTATTCAAGAGGCATCATTTCCAGTGTGTCAAGAGCTGCTGTTACAATTCATGTAAGGAATTAAGTGAAAGTGACACCAGAGCTGATTTGTAGGCTACCTCTGAGGAGAAATCCTGGGTCAAAATGTCCCTTTCCCCCTTGTTATCTCTACCTGACTGCCTTTCCTTTTGTACTTGCTCCCTTTTACCACATCCTTTTTCACGCTTCTCTCGTACTTCTTTGATACTTTCTTCCTTTCCTGCTCTTTCTTTGTCTCACTATGTGTGTGTGTTTTTTGCCTGAAGACTCTTTTCTCTGTTATCACTTTATATCTCTCTCAAACCCTTAAGGCTTTTTCTTCACCTGCAGTTTTAGAGCAACTGATTGTACCACACTCCTCTTCACCATTACTCTTTCCTTGTCTGCACACCCAGCACACACACACTCGTCCCTGTTTTCCTGCCTCACTGTACGCTGGACTTTTCTGCACGAATTTTGTCCACACGTATCATTGCCTTTGCAGCAGTGATAAGGGAGCCATGTGGTGGATGTATTCACACACACATACACACACGCACACACACACAGATGCTGATGCTCTGTGCAAATAGGCATAAACAAACACTCTTATAAAGGACAAATCCTGAGAGACAAGAGGTTCAATCTATGTGTGGAAGTGAAAAGCGAGGAGCACTGAAGAGAGCGCACACGCATATTTACATCCTTTGCATCTCTTCTCTCACCCACTTCGACTCTGTCTCTCTCTCTTCCTCTCCCCCTCTTTCCCTCAGATACACACACACTCGCACACACACACACACACACACATACACATGCACAGACAGACCCCCCTCTCACACAGGAGTAGATAGAGAGCGGTGAAGAGCAGAAGGAGCTGGGTGGCAGAAGAGAGGCAGGAGGGCTGTTGTTGATTGAACAAAGCCAGGAAAGGAGTGCGCAGTCCTGGGGAGAAGAGCAGCTGTGAAATGCCTCGAAGGGAGCCTGCCAGCAACTCCTGCAGAGACCTGAAGGTAAGCCTCGTGCACCGCTGATGGAGAAAAAGCAGAGGACGAGACAGACAGGGGAAGGCAAAAGAGGAAATGGGAGGTTTTTAAAGCCGCTGATGCATGGTACGACCGTGGCTCCGCGTCCAAGCTGCCTCCTCTCAATTTGTCTGTGGATGGCATCGCATGCTGTGATTGCATTATGTGTTTCATTGCACAGCCACAAATCCCATCTGGAGTGGCTTGCCAAATAAAAAGTCTGCATTACTTGAAGGAAAACTATGAGCGATCAGATAGCTGGAAACAGGGAGACAAGGAAGGATAGCACGAGAAGATGTGAGACAATGCAAGACACTGTGAGAGCAGGAGAGCAGGGAAAGGAAAGTAATGATGGGAAAAGTGGCTGGATTACCCTCCTCAGCATCACCTACACGCTTTGTCATCACATCTCACCACCTTTATCGTATGTCAGTGCAGAGATACATAATGATCGCCATGCATCTACTTGCCCTCATGGCGGGGGCAGGGTATTCAAAAAGGCAATGGATCTCTCTGACGCAAGCAGAGAAATGCCTGTCAACACTCCTGATGTTTGTGCATACTCGCTGTAGTTCTCTCAGTGCAATGCAGGAGTTTTACAAGCACAGCAGCAGCAGGAGTCAATGTGCATCTATATGTGTGTTACTGTAAGTGCGTGCGTGTGTGTGAGTGTGTGGAGGAGGGGGTATTGTACCACCAACACAACACATTGCAGTGCTTACATGCTTATATACCATCAGTGAAAGCGGAAGATAAAGGTACTGATGTGATATAGCAATAGCTGTTGGCAGTGTTTTCATGAATATTGTAGGCTACACCAAAAGCATTGAGACAAAATCATTTATATTGATTCCCTTGAAACACTCTCTCCGGGCTGAGGATTGGGTCTGCTTGCTTTAATGTCTGATGTACACCACTATTTTCTCCTGTACTGTACAGTAGCTCCAGTTCAGTGCACTCTGCAGGATCTGCATCTCGAGAGTTGTTGCTGTAAAACTTTGATGACAATGCAGTGGGCTTAGCAGCCACATTAGTCAAGCGCAGCTCCCCCAAAGCTCTTGTCCTTCCTGGTATGGTCTCATCAGGGAACGTCATTTCAGCATCAAGGCGGCGAGTGGACCCAATCATCATTTTTTAATATCTATTCTCCAGCACACCGTGGAGTAATAATAGGTACAAGCCATCTCTGCTCTCATTATTTTTTTTCTTTTTATATGATACATTCTTGTCTTAAACCCATTGGAGCAAAAGGGAAAGGCCAGTCTACTGGCTTTGCAGCTACCACCATGCAGCTACCACAACCCTGCTCATAGCTGATTGACCCGTAATTAGTTACTTAAAGAGTGTTTGGGAAAGCTTAAGCTGGTACAATGTAATAAAAATAGGAATAATAATAACTTCATTTATATAATGCTTTTCAAAACAAAGTTGCATCATCAAACAGTTACAATAAATACCATCAGTTAAAAGGTCTAACAATAAAAGTGAGTTTGAAGAAGAGATTTAAGTTTGTCTGCCTGAGATCATCAGGCAGGGAATTTCTGAAGGGTCCGGACAGCAAAGGCCTGGTCACCTCTATATGTCAAGATTTTGGAACCATTACTTAAGCCTTGCTGGGTGCTCATAGGGAGATAGCTGATCACAGATACAGGCAGCAGTTTGACCATTCAATGCTTTGAAATCAAGCCGTAAAATCCGAAAAAACAATTCGATATATCACAGATAACTAGTGAAGGTTAGCAAGGATCTGTGTGATGTAGTCACTTCTCTGAGTACGAGTTTAAGTGCTGGCAGCAGTGTTTAGTATAAGCTGTAGTCTTTGGATGTTTCACCTGCTGATGTCAGAATACAGTGCAGTGCCGTAGTGAAGTCTGGGGGAGATAAAAGAATGGATGACCTTTTCTAAATCTGCAGAGGAAAGGTATGACCTGATCTTAGTTAAATGTCTCAGTTGGACAAAGCAGGGCTGCACTACTTTTTTTTTTCTTTTTTAATATGATAAACAAGGCACTCTGACTGGTGGTGAGATTGTTAATGCTGCTAGTGCAGTGGATGGGGGCGTTTTTATTACTATCTCTGATTTAAAGTCATTCAATTGCAGACTGGACATCCACTTCTTAATTTCAGTGAGGCAGGACATAAAACAAGAAATATCTTGAGTGCCAGGCTTGAAAGCAACATACAGTTGCATATCATCTGCATAGTAATGAAAGTCTATACTATCTCAGTGCATGATTTGCCCCAGGGGTTACATGTCTATGGTAAAAAAAGAAGGAGGGGATCCAGAATAGAATAGAAAATGAACTATGCTTGTAACAAGCAAAGATTGACATGCCGTCCCTGTGCATCCAAAACTGGTGCTTGAGGGGTGCCTAGAGCCTCATCATTGAGCAACTGACTAAGCATTGGTAATTGACAAGTCTGGACTGAGGGTTTGTTTGATTGTCAGGAGATGAACAAATCTAGAGCCACATCACTGATGCCAACAATAGTTTTAATGTGATTAATTACAGTGAGACATTGTAGTCCACTGTGTCAAAGGCTGAGCTGAGGTCAAGGAGGATTTAAATGAAGCTGCAGGCCTGTGTGGGTGGCAAGCAGCAAGTCATTAGAGAGCTTGACCAGAGCCGTCTCAGTGCAGAAAAAGATGGTTGTTAGTATAAGAAATCAGTTGATGGGAGATAACTTGTCCTAGAATTTTTAGCTTACAGATGGGTTGTGAGAAGGCATCTGTGAGAGGGGGTAAACAGTGACATGCAGGGGAAAACACCAGTAGACAGAGAGCAGTTAATAATGGTTGAAATATCTAAACCAATCGCCTGAAAGCTTTTTAAAAAGAAAGGTGGAAATACAGTCTGAAGGGCAGGTGAGTGCTCAAGAAAGTGGAACAGGGCATTCCAGAGTTGACAGAGAGATTTCTCAGAAGTGGGTTAATGTTGAGGGTGGGCAGAAATCAGTGTCAAGCTTTCTGATATCCATGTTCATGTGCTGCTGAATCTCCTTCTTTGTCATTTTAGTAATTAAGAAATGCTTCAGATATCTGGGGAGGACTCCTCTGTCTAGGCGGGGGAGCAATAACAGAGTTGATGGTGTTTAATAGGACTCTGGAACATGACCCTGTTTAGTAATCAGTTGTTGTTGTTACTGTGATTGCACACTGATAATTGATCATCAGATTTTTAATTTCTGCTCTGCTTTTCTGAATTGTCTTTTTTAATCCCTTATGTCTTCATTCAATGATGGCAGAGTTGGAGAATTTAACTTTTTTTTTTTTTTTTTTTTTTTTTTAAATCTCACCTGAGCTACAGAATCTAAAAACTTCATGCAAGAGTTATTAAAAACTCTGACAAGCCCCTCTGCAGCAAGGCTCTGGTATTAATTGGTTTAAAAATGTGTTTGAGGCAGTAAAAGTATTTAGGGGAGTGGGAGTGAGTCAGTGTGGGGAGGAGGGGGTCAGGAGAGAGGAGTGGGACCTGGAGGAGCACTGCCTCATGATCAAGATTGCAACCAAGTTTTCATCTTCCACACAGAAACCATAGGAGAGCACAAGGTTAAGTGTGTCCTTTGAAGTGGCTGGGATGGCTAACATATTGGGTAAGATTAAAGGAGTTGGCTGTAATATTTAGTGGCATCTATTAGTAAAAATTGCTGACTGAAACCAGCTGCAACTTCTCCAATATGCTAAGTATCAACTCCCAGTTAGGATTCCTTCAGTTTTCATTGCCCAGGAGGTTTTTAACAGGAGCTTAATTATCTGTAGACGTCTCTTCCTCTCCGAAACAAACAGACCAGGTGATTAAAACCAGTAAAAACACTGACTAAAGCAGTTTAATGTTAAAAATCTGTGTTTCTCCAACACTGTTTGGCTAATCGCAGATGGGCCACTAGCCCAGCACCTGCTCATGTGTGCTCACCATTTTTCTCTGGTAATTCAAGATCCAGACGTTAAGGTTGAGAGAGAGAGGTCTCCTCTCTGAATCAAATGGATCTGGTGATTTAAAACAGTACAAACACTGAATAAAGAAGTTTCACATTAAATATTGGTGGTTTTTGAATGCCATTCGGCTCATCACAGAGGGGCTGCTACCAACGGTGGCAAAGCGAAAACACTAAAATGCAAAAACACGAATGGCCCTATCTTGAGCCAGTGCTCAGTTTATCCGCTCTGGGCTACTGTTGATACATGACGTTACAACATGGCGGACTCCATGGATGAGGACCTGATCATCCGACTCATTCTAAGGAAGCAAAACCATGACGATTCTTATGTCCAGGTCATTATACACTTAAGAAAATTCATTCAATTATACTCCATTTTCAGCATTCTATCCCCAACCCCACACATTAGACCTTTAAAAGAACAGTTTGACTAAATTCAAAGCAAATGAGGAAGATGAGGGCCAACAAACATGGATATTAAAAGCACAAAGACTAAGAACTCTGTCATACTGTAACATGATGACTCATAAAAGGTCTGAAAATTCCTGAATAAAACCAGAAGTAACTTCGGGGGGACTGTAGATTAAAACACATAAAATGAGCAATTTATTTTTGTAGTACTAAGACTCTCAAAGGTGGAGAAACAGCCAAGTGAGACTGGAGAACAACTAAAATCAAGTGTGTGTCGCTGCAAGGCCGCCCCCTCAACCTGTCAGTTTTGGGTGATGGAAAAATAAATATTCTGGGTGTGATGACTCAATAGCAAGCGTATATTTATTAGGATTTATCCAAGACTCTGTGATGATTTAAAAAAAAAAAAATCAATCTTGTTAGTCATCAATCCTGGCAGATAAAAGACTTATTAGCAGGGGATCTTACGTTAAGTAAACAGATAAGCGCTGATTCAACAGCAGGGACTAGAGAGCTGGTTTTAGGTGTAATGGCTTTTGATAGATGGCCTTGGTGCTCTCATTGTCACCGCAACTCAGCGTTATGTACCTTGCTCCCATCCTGCTGGGTTATTATCCCTGTCTTGATCTCACTAACAA